ACACTTGTATAAGTCGCACACTGGACCAGGATCCACTTACAAACTGTTTGTGATGTCACAAATCATTGTCGTAGGCCCCGCCCCTTAAAATCTGATGTTCAATGAGCTCAGAGAAACTTTCCACTTTCAGCAGATAGTTGTGAAAACATCCTTCTAGTGTCAAACATCCAACTATAGCAACTTAAGAAGAAAAACATATTTGTTTAAGTGGATGGGGACTTTAAGGTGCACATAAATGACAACCAGCACAATACATACAAATACTTAGATCCTAAAGAAGATATGATATCATAAAAACTCACAGCCTAATATGACGACCTTTCTACATACATCATCCTCACACATATGTAATACTGCCACACATATCTCACTTTCATGCTCAAAACATGACAAACTCTTTTGACATATGTTACCAAAGGCCTTTCTTCTGACAGTTACTTCACTGTGACTGTTAAATGATCAAAAACAAATTTCTGGACCTCAACTTTTATCTTTTAACTTCTTTGGTATTCGCTTTACAGCCTCACAGAGCTTGTTTTGGGGACGCCTGTCATCCAGATGGAATTGATCAACCTCGGTGACTTTGCCAAGGTGGAGCAGAATGTCTCACCTGCACACGACTGTGCTTCATCATACCACCATCACTCAGCCATGTTAAATTCCCCCACTGTAATGTTTTCACTAGTACAGTGTCATTTTAAAGAGAAAACCTATAGGAAAAACCTTAAAAAAGCCCAATTACATTACAAATTTGATCCAAAAGCTACTTAATTGTGTCATATTGTCACTTTACCGGCTTAAAGTTATGAATGACAGTTCCTTCGATATCACACCTGATAATTATTTCTTCATACAGAAACATCTCCACACCCTTTCTCACACAAACACAAAGACTCCAGTCAGGGGTGCGGCTAGAAAGTTTGGACCCCTTGACAACAGTTCAACAACATTTCTGACACATTGAATATCTACGATCCGTGTCATGCTCCAGTACAGCTGCATCATTCACACACACACACACACATACACACACACACACACACACACAGTGGCCCCAACAAGCACTCAGTAGACTATAAAAGACTCATGTATAGTGACACAGGGGAGAACTTGCTAGATTAAAATGACCTCTCTTGGATCCGTACATACGGCTCGTTAGACACAGTCCCCTTCCTCAGCCTGTATGGAGAAAGGTCAAGGTACTTTCTTCGAGGATTCAGGATCACTACCTCAGCAGACCGTTAGAGAAAACAAATTCACAGGTGAGGTCAGATATACTCAGTTTTTCCTTTTATAAATGCAAGTTCGACCTGCTCTTTGCTAAAACTCAGTGAATTGACGAGCTGTAAATGACTGTTTCAGGCCATTCGTATCCTACGGGGGAGATCCTGGTCATTGGAGACATTTTCCAGTTCACGCTCGATGTGAGTGAATTTTCTCCAGAGGATGTTATCATGACATTCTCCAACAACATGATAGAGGTGCATGCGGAGAAGGTGAGTCATGCAGTCAGTAATCTGTAATAGCAAACACAAAAATGTAAATGATTGCTGAATTAGGCCTCAGACAAATTATACTCATTTGAAAATAAGTATTTTGAATTTCGGCTGTAGAATATTCTTGACAGCCTACGTAAATGCAGAAGACAATAATATCAACATATACAATAATTCAATTAAAGTACTCAAATTATTATAATGGCTTGAATCTGATGGATTACAGATCATCTTTAAAGTTTGAAATCCTTTTTTTATGTGACAAAGTTGAGTTTGGGCCTAAAATCAGAGGTATAAATTATAAATATGAAGAACTGAAGGGTGAGGAAAAAAATGTTTGTATGTGCAAAATTAAACATTTCTCTGACTGACTCTAACTTTCCCACGTTTCTGCCTGTTGTCCATGCAGCTGGGAGACGATGGCTCAGTCACAAACACTTTTTCCCACCAATGCAAACTACCATCGTCAGTGGACCCGAAATCTGTGACCATGACCATGGACAGCAGCGGGTTCCTGACTGTCAGAGCACACAGGTTACAGTAGCTCCAGATGTTTGATGTCTCTTCTCTGCCTTTGACATGTCAACGCTGGAGTTTTGGCGACATCTGGCGGCGCCTGAAGGAATCAACCAGTGCATCATTCATTTAGTGTACTTGAACACAGCAACACAGCAAATACTATTTTAAAAGTGTGATTTTCTTTGATTTTCTTGTTAACATGATGTGACATTTAAGGAGGACAGCACAGAAACCTGCAAATGATTGCTGAAATAAATGTACACAACATTTGTTAATAGATTAACTGAAACATTTTTAGCACATCTGCTGTAACTCTATGAGGCTTTATGTCTAAAGCAGTGGTTCTCAACGTTTTAAGTGTCAAAGACCCCCAATATTGATACACATCAGGTTGTGAGCCCTTGTTTGATAACATCTGATAGAGATCTGATAAGATTTAGATCCATAACTGGGTCGACTGGCAGATTGGCGGTGAAGAGTGTAAAACCTATGAAACAGAATAGACCTGCTGTCATTGGGCTTACTTTTTAGCCCATGAAATAATAGTGAAATTAAAATATCCCCCTTTTATTCTGGGGACCACTTTAAGGACTCCTGGGGGTCCCCGGACCCATGGTTGAGAACCACTGGTCTAAAGTGTTCTTGTGTTTCATCCAAAAAGCTGAGCGCCAAATAAAGCTGTAACACCTGAAGACAACATCACAAACTAACAAACCCAACTGGACTACGCACAGACTGTAACCACGGTAACCAAGGAAGAGCCATTACATCATAACACCAACATCTGATGCTGTTTGGTGCCATTTCTATTGAAGGCTGTGAGTCCTCGGAGAAACACACTAAAACCATCTGCTTACAGATCTACGTCATGTGACCTCTGATGACGAAATGCCTCTGAACTAAACTTGTTCCTTTGCTGTTATTCAAATAATATCCAAAGAGGAGTTTAGGGATTAAAAACAACATATATATTGTTGTTTTTTTCTTTAATATTTATCCTGAAGTCAACATTTAACAAGGGGACATTTAACTTAGCCATGTTGAGCCTTTGAATTGAACTCGGCATGAGCCCCGTAAAGTATGAATACAATCATCTTTGGATATGATTTAGAGAACAAATAAACTAATGTGCACATCTGGAATAACCTCTGAAGTGTGTCCTTTCATGTGGTAGAGACATTTCTGCATTGAACGGTCACAGCACACTCAGAAACCCCCGGTAGGTGGCGGCACTGCGTCTTTACGCTACCCTGACAACCGCCATGTAAACCCAGCGGAGAAGAAGAAGGAGCCATGACGTCAGCGGCCGTATCTATGGCGGTTGTCAGGGGACGTTTGAGTTGACGGAAGTTTCCATCGAGTTGCGGCTCTTTGACACTGAAACTAAAAGTGATTATTCGCAGTATTTTGACCCTAACATCGGTTTCTGGAGCTTTCTTCAGCAGCTAATTACATTCTGCCTTTTTTTTTTTTTTTTTAATAAATATAAAAAAACTGACCCTTAGCAGTGTGATGCTAACTTAGCCACGCAGCAGAACTAGTAGCGACAACAACATGGCACAGGTTCTCCCTCCCGGATCCATCGTAGTGGCTGACTGGCATCGATGTAAAGACAGCAAAGAATATTTCAGCAAAATCCTGCACAAGAAGAGACGCAAACACTTTGGTACGACAACTAAACCAGTGGTTTTCAGTGGCTGTCCTGATGTCAAAAGCCCCAATTCATGTGCACATGTGTAGTGGAAGCAGGTTCTTTTATTATACAGCAGAGTATGTCAGTATGTCTGCTCTACAGTACAGACAACCTTCACCTGCAGAGATAGTGTGGATGCATTAAATAGATCAGTTTGTAAACACTGAATGAACCTAGGAGGCTGTACAAATATCACATGCACCTGTGTTTGAGTTTCAGGTTGTGTGGAGAGGAAACATGTTACAACACTGAGTTTCTGTGTGCTGTTTTATTGGATAATCAACACGAAATCACTAAAAAAAACAAAACGAGTTGACTTAACAGAACAGCATCAGTGAAATAACATAGCAGAAAGAAGAAATGTTAAACAGCCAAAGAGCCAAAGATTGCTGGATGTGGGTGTTAATCTGTGTTGACGTTTTCTAACACTGGATATTGAGGAGTAGATGTTGTGGGATACTTCTAAGAGTGACAGACACTTGATCCAGATTGAATAAATAGAAATAACATAATACAGACTTGAAGTGATTCAGGGTTTCTATATAATTACATGGGAGCTACTCATGTTGAAAACAAACATGTGCCATACTCCTTACTTTGACCAGACACCACTGATGCTTAAAGTAAAGCTTACTGGTTTAATAATTTATGATTGTGAACGTTTTGGACTTTAGCCTGCGATACAACAACACAAGTGTAGGTCCATGCAGGGAGACGGTTACAGGCTGTAACAGTCTTTCTGTGAGGCTGTAAAAGATCACACAGTATGATAGTACATTTAGGTACAGAGTACCAAGCAGTAAGTCAATATTTTGATGGTAAAACTTGTTTTACAGGCCTGTTGGAGTCTCCAGTGATGCCCCCACATGTAGCTGTGGACACTGTTCACTATAAGATCTTCATCTCTGGCAAGACTGGAGTTGGGAAAAGTGCTCTCGCTGCACGCCTTGCAGGCCTGAATACTCCCAGCATGCACTATGAAACCACAGGTAGGTCAGCAGTTTCTACAGTTAAAACTCTTTCATTTAAAGGTTCAGATCAGGTCACACAGATATTTGTCCAACTGGTCTTTTGTTGTTCCAGGTATTGAAACGACAGTGGTGTACTGGCCAGTGAAGCTGAGAGAAAGTGGCAGAGTGCTTTTCTTCCGTCTGCAGCTGTGGGACTGTGGGGAGAACGCCCTGCGTAGATTTGACCATTTGCTCCCAGTATGTACAAAATCTAAAGCATTGTAGTGAGTTATTAAGCTAATGTGAAACAGGAGGACGACTCCACTCGAGTTATTCGAGATCACCATCACACCAGCAGTTTTCTTACATCACTGTTTCCTGTGTGTTCCAGTCCTGTAAAGAGCAGGTGGACGCTGTCCTTTTCCTGTTCTCCTTCACTGACAGGACGTCCTTTGATGATCTGTCAAATCAAATCGCCAAATGGACTGAGACGTCTGTGGGTCGTGTTGTGAAACTGGTGGTTGGCACAAAGTATCCTTTTGACAAGACTATGACTAACTGCTGCTAGTCCTATTTTTACATCAAAAGTAAGAAGAGAAGCAGCTAAAACATACTCACCACTTCCAAAATGTGTTTTTAGCTATATGTGACCGTAATCAGTAGACATGGACATTTATCCTTAATGTTTCCTTCAGATTTGACCTTTTCATGCACTGTGATGTGGCAGAGAGAGATGTGAGGGACTTCCAGGAGACATGGAGCATACCGGTGCTGCGTATGGGCGGGGAGGTCAGCGACGGGCTGGGTGACGTTGCTCCCCTCCTCAACTGCCTGGCAGAGAACCTGTGGCATCAGGACTGCGTTACAGCCGGATCAGCCAGCTACCATTCACAGCGGGAGACAGTGAACCCACCCTAATACCCAACATGTTGTTGAGGAGGCAGTTGAGGTGAACTGAGTCTAGGCAAGGTCAGCCCTGTGTAGGAGAGCTTGACCTTCCTCAGGATGAGACTGTTGTTTAGGTAAATTAACTATTGCGTCTAATGCACTGCGGTCACAGATTGAGGTTTATTGTGAAATGTCTTAATTCTCTCATTTAGTGTCAGCAGACTGTTGGGCAGTATTAATATCATGATATATGACCAGATATTGTCCGGGACTGTGGTTACATTAATGTGATGAAGATAGAATCGTCACTACCGAGCTTTCCTGGTCTTAAAGATTGATGACGTGAACAGTGAGTGCTGTTGGTCATCATGTCCGTAACACTATAATATTTAGAAAGAAAAGAAAGTAGAAGGTCAAATGTAAACGTTTGTATTTGTTGTGCTCTTGATGCCATTGTCTGTATTGGAGCACAATATTAGTGTAATAATATTTCTAATTTGTATGTGACGGCTCCATTCCTCTTTGTTTGTTCATGGATTCTTGTTAATGTCATCTGAAAACACTCAAAGCGTTGTTTCGCGTTAGAGTTACTGTGATAAATATTTGTCAGTATTTCACAGTGCGAAGATCAAGTCACCGTCTTTATTCAGTTGATGCATTTTTCTTGCATTAGGCTGATCTGATGAAGTCAGAAAAACATTTTCTAAAAATTAAAAAAAGGCACAGTGCTTAACAAAAGTTAGTGACTTAATGCAAATAAAAACAAATATTCCCAACAATGAAAAAAAAATTATCCCCTTACTCCCACGTGTCTAATTGTGACGAGTTCAGTGTATGTTTGAATGCTTCGTGTTATTAACATTATTAAGTGCAGTCAAGTTAAGATAAACTTTAAAGAGTGAACAACTTATCAAATGTTTATTTTACTAATGTGCAAGTTAAAACGGTTAAAGTTTGATGTATAAAATCTAAATCTTAGAATCATGTTCTCGTTTTCTCATGGTTTAGACGAGAGCGCCGTCACCCACGCCTCTTTATCTGACCTGCAATAAAATGAAAAGAAAAAAAAAAAAAAGATCAAGATGAATCACATTCCTACTAAAAGGAGATTTATTAGTCGTTAAAAACTCAGAGGATGTCCACTCGTACCTTGTGTGTGTAACAAGTATCATGGCGGTCGGACGTCCGGTTTGACTTTGAGAGAGACGTAACAGGAAGGAGTCTGGGGGGACACCCAGGACCTCAGTCTTCAGATGCTCCAGGTGGACATGTGTGGGGAATTTAGCATAATCCAAAACTGTGAACCTCTGATCCCTGACATGAGACAACACAGTGTGGTTTAAAAAGGTTAACAATGTGAGGACTATTACCAAACCGGACTGATTCAGTTACCTGAAGTGGATCATAATTGGAATCCAGAAAAAAAAAAAAAAACATTTGCATGGCTTTTAATTGTGTTAGAGAATGGTTAGTAATACCCCCCATTTTGAGTGCATGTCAAATACTTTTTGGAGGAGATGATCAAAAGGTCGTTGAAGAGGTGGAGGTAGACGCTGATGAAAGGCACTCTTGAGCTGTAAGTGGCCTTCGCAGTCAGCTGTCTCACGGGACCCTGGCGCACCAGAAAACGCTCGCTCACGACCAGAGGAACAGACTGGATGGAAAAAAAAGAGGCTGTCAGTTTGAACTAATTGCCATCTGCAGGTTACATAACAGAATCACATCTGTTAAAGACTTGATAAGAAATCTTAGTTAAAAAGAAACAAGTTGTCACCTTAACTTTGCCAAAATCCAGCAGCATTTCGATGCAGACCAGCTCCTCAATTTGTTTCATCTTTCTGACCCCTTTGTTGCACTCTGTCACTATCTGGACAGAGCAGATAGTGATACCGTTGTTTACATTTCCAGACTTGACTTTTTAAGCAATTTAAATGGCAATTCTCATTAATTTGCTCAGCACTACAATACTCTGCCCTCCAATAACTAGCTCATTCCCCGGTTTAATTCTTTCTGTGCAGATCCAAACACTTGAAAGTGAAACAGTATTACCTCATGAATGGCTTCTATTGCCTTTTTGAGATTTAAAATGGAGTCGGAGCCTGACTCAGTCAGTTTCAGGATGCTCTGAAAACCCAACAGAAGCCTCAGTTGACTTCTGAATTGTGTCATACAAAGCTGAAAATATATATTTTGGAATTAAAATGCCTACCTCTAGGATGAGTTTAATGCGAGTAATTCTCTGGAAGGGAAGTACAAGGAATGACTTGAGGCTCTGTCTTTGACACACTGGGTCACTCTCAAGCTTCTTGATTGAATGCAGAAAGTCTCTGTTCTGCTGCCTTGAGAAGGAAGAGATGTGACTGAATACATCTTATACAAAGTTGTTTGTTGTGAAGTAGCACCATTGGTATCAAGTACTGAACTGAGACTTACAGCAGCTGGTTGAGAAGGGCCTCTTGGTACATCATGTTCGTCACATATGGCACATAGAGGCTGTGAAACTCTGGGCAGTGCTGGAGCACAACTTCTCCAATGTGAGATATGAACACACTCTCTCCCAGTCGCATTTCTAGAGCCATTAGAAACCTAGAAGAGATGGGACACCAGATCAGGATGAAAACGAACACAACCAGTTCAAAAAAAAAAGGTTACTGCATGTGGAGCGCTCACTTTTCACTGGCTGCCATCACACGCAGAATGTTGGAAAACAAAATGTGATGCTCCATTTGAGAGAGCGTTCGTTTCAGTGCCTTGGAGGCATAGAAATGACTGACAGCAACTCCGAGGCTCCGTAGGTAAGATGCTTCAGAGCCGATCAACTCAAACATCGACTTCAGAGGAAGAAAATGAGGGAACAAGAATGAATGTTCTCACTGTCGCACTAAACCTTGAAGAGCATTACTTTTTAGATTTCAGGCTAAAATGCTAAATGTTAATGCCAGCTTACATGATACATTTTAGTGTTTAAAACTTTTTAAACTACTGTTCAGATGTCAAAATGGCTAAAAAGCATATAAATATAGAAATATTTTATGTTCAGAGCAAACTTTAGCACAACAACATGCTAAATGCTGCATGTTGATCATCATCATGGTTAACCAACAGTAACACACAGCAGTACACGTCATCGTGCTGAGACGGGTGCAGCTGGTAACCAGGTAATCGTTTGATACACTAATGTCTTGTTCATTCTTATCACATAATTTAATTTTAATGTTGCTTGGTTCCAGATTATATAAGACTGCAGCTTTTCACACCTCCTGAAGGTGAATCTCTCTGGTTGTCAAACTGCTGAGTCGGCCAGACGCCTTCACCTCATCTAGATCTTGCCAAAGGGTGCATGGAGTCACCCTGACTGGCTGAGGCAGAGGTGAGGATGGAGTCTTATCAGGAGGGTTTGACTGATGGGACGTAGGCTCAGAATGGCAGCGAGGGCTGTCCCGTCTCAGCCCTCGCTGTAGACCCGACCGATACTGGGTTGTTATCAGTTCAGACACAAAACACTTGTTCAGTCTGAGCACTTCCTTCTTCACCGCCTGCAGACAATAATCCTGATACAGTGGGACTGCAGAGCAAAGGAAGACACGGTATTTTAGATTGATATAAATTATAAAACACTATTCACTGATAGTCGTAAGAGAAAAGGTGAACTTACAAAAATCAATGTACTTTGACTGGAATGATACACTGAACACTTCCTCCTCAGCTAGATCTGCTGCCCTGGGTTCAATAGAAGGCCACATTTAGATAAAATGATACAGATTATTTAAAAAGGTATAAAGATTTATAGCCTCTCTTACCCTTCTGGACTTGTATCCTGATTATCTAATAGAGACAGAGTTGGATTCTCCTCGGGTCTCGGTACTGAGAACAGCACAGGTGCGTGTATTTTTTTCAGATTCAATGTGCGCATTAAGGCCGCTGATCTGAGAGCTGAAGACATGTCTCTGGAAGGGCTAAAAAAAAAAAAGAAAGATATCTTAATCCTGTAAGAGTTTACTGAGGTTTTCTAATTGCACCATGTGGTCCTTACCTGCAAACCTCCACCTGGCCACCATCTGGGCTTCCCCTACAATTACTCACTGAGCGACTGTTTTCAGAACAGGAGTGTAGATTAGTGATAATGCTACTGCTCAAACAGCGGCTGTCGTCATCTCCGCAGTCAAACTGAGCCATAACGCTTCGGTCTAGAGCTGTTCTCTCGCTGTTCTCCCGCACAAAGCTGCAGTCTTTACTAAGCAGCAATCACAAAAACTGGAACCAGGTGTGGCTCTTTTTCAGGCCTCTGATAAACTCTAGCTGTGTCCCAGCTCCATAATAAATGTAAATTCAAGTTTAACTGGCATCTTGCTGGTTTTCATTGTCTTCTATGGTGGTAAATGTAATATTTGTGGGTTTTAGACCGTTTGTTAAACAAAACAAGTGATTTTGTCAACATCACTATAGGCTCTGGTAAATTCATTATTCACTATTTTCAGACTTTTATACACAAAATGATGAATCCACAAAATAACTGGCTGATTATTTAATTATGAAAACAACTAGTTATGTGCAGAGCTAATTCTTCGCAGGGTTCGAGTGACAAAAGTGGCAAAATAAAGTCAGTACCCTACACATACTTAAAAAAAACATGCACTTTTTTTGTAAATGGAAAATCTCACAGGTCAAACTGGATGGTGGTTCTAGTGCGCTTTGTCAGCCCCTCAAAAAACACATCTACGGAAAAACATTTTCCTTTGAAGTTAAATTGAACGTGACATTTGACGTGCACTGATGCACGTACTGTGGCATTTCCTGTACTACAAAACGGTTAAGTCTGTTAATTCTTATATATGCTCCCTGCAAAAACAGTATACTATGACATTTACGGACACACAAGTTCACACATGGAAATGGTTTCAAGTCATTTCTGAAATGTGTTTTTCAGGTTCTTGATTACGCAGGCACATTGTATATAGCAAAGAAGTGATGACTTGATTCGAGAATAGCTAAATCATAATCACACTGCATTTATTTACAGGACGTACAAAATAAATTCACACAAGTGTACAAATACTAGTTCCATTTTATTTGCAATTTAAAATTTCATACAAGATAAAAGTAGATAATTCAATCTGCCTGAACATTGTTGGTATATGACTCAAATAAAGCCATTAAAATACTTGATATATGATGTACTGACAAAACATTTGACAGGCGCGTATGGCCATATTCAGATTACAAAATGAAAATGGATAAGTTTTTTTTTTTTTTCTTTTTAAAAGGTATGAACACACACTGATGATTTGACAGAAAAAATAAAAGTACTTTCTGAACAGGAAACAGTTTTGTAATCTACACATGGAAAGGCTCTCAAACTGTGAATGATACATACAGTAAAAGATACCTTCCGTAATACACATACTGAACCAAAAAATGCCATCAATGATCGTACGTCAATGTTGTGGCTCGCTTGATATTGTGTGATATAAGTGTGATATAGGCCATGTATATAAGGGTTTCCACTTATCTGGAGAAACTATCTGTAAACTTGATCAACAAAGATCAACCCTTCTTAACTGCAGCAGTTCCCACAATGTAGCTTCTCTGTCATTGGGTTCTGATTTGTAAATTGAAGGGGGTACAAACATAAAAATCAACGTGATGCTTTGTTTATCAGCAAATTACTTCAAATATCCATATTTGTGCTGAATGCTCTAAAGCCCACCAGACAGAGTTGTTGTGAGATGGAGAGTAGGAGTAACTCTACTCCATTTTGAGTTTATTTTTTATTTTTATTGATGCTCCACACATGACATATCAAAGGGGAAATTATAATAAATGTTTAATGGTTCAAGAATCATACATTGGGCATTTAATAATGTGTCAATGTTGGACGAAAAAACAAGAAGAAAATCAATCTACCATACCAAATTTCTAAAAACCAATGAAATGGGTGGGCACCCAAAACATCTGCATGCAAACACACCTCACATATCTGCAATATCCAGAAAAGTATTACCAGTTGTCCTGTTTGTTCTTGGATATTCTGTACGACAAACCAAGAGACAGCGTTTCCCTGTGTTTTTACGTGCTCCCTGCTAAAGAGGGACTGAGACATCTGGATCAGTAACAAGTTATAAATAAGACAGATGCGAAGTTGGGAGGCTGGGGGACTTGTAAGACTAGTTATGAGTCTAGGTGGGCACAGTGATACTGCGGGCTAGTAGTGCCAGCAGAGCTAGCTCCACAACCCCATGGGCTCTTTCCAGTGCCTCTGCAGCCTCCATGGCAGAAAACCCTGCTGCCTGGATTCTCTGGATGTGCTCAGCTGGAAATTGTTCTATAAAGGGATGCGGAGAAGGGAGAAGAGGGGCTGGAGACGTAAGCTGGGGAGCCTGAGCAAGAGGAGGGGAAGAGGGGGACGAGGTGCTGGAGACGTCGTCGGGTGAGCCCACTGCCATAGACAGAGGGCTGAGAAATGTGTGCTCAGTCTGGAGGCCAAGAGTGTCTGGGGTGTTGGTGCCAGAGGCTCGTCCGTCTGCAACCCCCCTCCCCTGCTGCCCCTCGGGAGGTTCCCTGAACTCCAGATCCTCTGCAGGATCAGGAGGAACCTCTGGCTCAGGCTGCAAAAAACTGATGTTACTGGCTTCATCTTGCCCACATCGATCTGCCCTCTTCTCCCCGGAGTTGTCTGGACGCTGTGGTGGTCCTTGTCCCTCCACAGTTTCTGCTGTTTCTCCGCCCAGATGCTCATCCTGGCCAGAGGTGTCAGGCACAAGACACTTTGATGGTCCCTCATCCGACACAGCAGCAGCATGGTTGGCTTTGGCATCGCTTGGTTCTGCACCGACTGTGATGGCAGTAAAAGGGATCGGCTGGGGGTTTTCGGGTGTCGGGGGGCACGGCTCGGGGGCCACTTCGTCCGTTTCCTGTTTGAATGGATGTGAGGGGGAGCAGGAGGTGCTGCGGTTTTGGGACTGAGCCTGGTTGTTGGACACCAGCAGCTCATGAAGCTCCATCAGAGCGGCCGCCAGCGAGGGGATGCTGTCGGAGCTGGAGCAGTGCTCTCCTTCGGGCTGGTCCCTCTCAGGGGACACGGCGCCCTGGGAGGCAGCGGGGGACTCCATCTCAACCGAGTCGGATTGCCTCGGAGCACTCGGACAGGCTTCAGGGGCCTCAGCTGCGTCGGACTCAGTTGCCTCCTGCTCCATGGGTTGAACGGGTGAAAGTTCTTCTGGATGGGGGAGCGTGGAGCTGTTCACCACCTCGTCGGATTCAGCGTCTCCCTCTGCGGCTCCCTCTGCGGCTCCAGGCTGTAGCTCGCCTCCCGGATACTGGGGTACCGCAGTCACGTCTGCTGGAGGGGTACATGTGCGATGGACGTCTGTTGAAGGACTGGGCACAGGGGGCACTTTGGAGTTTACGTGGACAGGCAGAGGGTGAGGGTGGACCTGGTGAGGTGTAGAACCAGCATCCTCTGCTAGGGACGAAGGCAGAGGAAGCTCCTGGAGGCCAGGTTGGTTCTCGCAGACCCCTGGTGCTGAGGCCTGCTCCATGGCGGCCGGGGCAGACTGAGAGCGATCCAGGGTCTGGGGCTGACCAGAGGAAGGGCTTTGGGAAGGGGAGGTGGATGAGGACATTTGGTCTAAGGTTCTGGGTAATGTAAATGGTGGGGGCTGCCGTGAGGTAGTTTGTCCATCTGCAGTGTCTATTATAAGAGAAATATACAACTGGGAATTAAACAGCTGGAATTTGCGTGGACCTAGTCTGGAAGCATTACTTTGGATAATAGGCATCATAATAATATCAAAGGAAACAACCCAACAACACAAACTCTTCTTCTTGAATACCCGCTGCACATTTAGTTGCTTACTTGTGCTACTTTTTCCTCTTTTCAACACTTATATGTATTCAGAATAAATACATGAATAAGTACAAACAAAAGTACAACATCGATTAACCGATCCAGCAGCAAAATAACAGCAAAATAAAAGACATAAATAGCAATGGACTTAGCACTGGCAATGGAGTTGTGAATTTGCAGTACCTGGTTGGTAGGGCCCTCTCCAGCTGTCTCCAAATGCATCAGTGCTGTCCTGCTCAGGGGTTAGGGCACACACACCACACACATCATGCAAAGGGACGGAGAAAGTTAGCAGTCACACACAGAGCATGCACCAACTTATCAGCCTTTTCACACGCAGATGTGAAAAGTGTCATCCAAAAAACAACTTGAGCCTACGTCCTGACAGAGAGGTCACAGTGTAATCACACACCCTGTCACTGAACCTCAGAACGCTCAATTGAGGTCATGTCAGTTTGACATTGGACCAAAATCTCTTGACCATGATAATCGAAACCAGAACTGATTGATTGATACCTCTTCCCTGGTGGAGGTTTACCTTATTCCACAACATGGCCGCTGTACCACAACACCCCCATGAGCCTGAACGCACTGCAACTCTACTGCTGCTGCTTGTTGTTGTTGTTGTTGTAGTTGTAATTCTATTTGCAATGTGCAGCCATTACCGGACATGACTGGCCAATGGAAATGATAACAAAGACTAAGTGCATCAATGGCAATAGCACAAATGTTAATGTGAGCCTAGGAAGGAATTAAAGGAAAACACTTCCATGATTATGTTTTAACATTCATAACAATATTTATAAAGTAAAAAGACAAGAATGTCTTACATATTAATCCAGTAAACTAAATAAAATAAATTAAAGATCATTTATTTGTAAGACAAGCAATTCTTGACAATGAGAAAACGCTAGTAATTATGAGACCGTCATGTCACAATCATTAGTATTGTCATTAGGACCGTGGAGGAAGTTTAAGTCAGAAGTAAACTTGAACGCAAGCAGCTTTCTGTCAATTCAGCTGATATTTAACAAGCCTTTCCTCTGAACTATTGTATCTTTTTGATTTTTGATTTCCCAGTTACAGCATGTTTTGATGATAATGACAAGATTCAGATCTTATAACTGTAAGATAAGAGTTCATAAGAACCTTATTCGTGATTTCTGTAGGAAATCATAATTACGATTGTTTTCCATTGAAAAATACAATGCATTTCTGTAGTGCGGCTGTGATATCTGATTGTCCTTTCATTGTGATAGTGTAAGATTCACTACAAATAATCACAATTGTATTAGCACTAAATGTCCCTTACAGTTTGTCTTTGTAGGTGGCTTCAAATGCTGTTCTCACCCTCCTTCAGAGATCCATCTGCACTGTTGTCCAAACACAGAACCTGACAACATCTGACAATCCATGTTGAACTCACTGCAATAAGACACACTCAGTACTGCTGATTAGCAACATAATAGAGCCATCAGTGGTTAAGTGTTTTCTCCAAAGCTTCTTTAAATATAGGTGTTTAAAAACAAATTAAACCGACGACGACGTCACTCCCACCACTGTAGTGTGTCTGCTGATGCAGTACTAGCCAAATGAATGACCATATTGGAGATAAAGGTTGCTAATTAATTATTAAGTCAATAACTATCATATAGAAATCAAGTTTCAAATCATAATTATAATAAATGAAATTGTAAGTGCCTTTCATGTAAGTCTACATGAGTAACTAATCATGAGTGTTTCCCTTTAAGCCTATAAAGCTTGATCTATTACCTTTCCTTATGTATGCTTACATTTGCCTGATAGACCTCAATTTCCTGACCTCGTCTTATTCTGAAGCACATTCAATTTGCTGAGGTGATGACATGAAGTGATCATGTGACTGAAAATTCAGATGACTGCATGATCGGGGTTGAGAGTAAAAAGCTTTAAGTGGCACATGCAAATGTGGTTCTACCTGAGCTGAAAAAAGCCCAATCAAAAACAGGCTACAGTGCAGAGATGGGGGACTGTTCCTTACCACTTTCCTGTATGGACCTCTGAAGCGCCTCTGCCAATTCTCTGTCAGCTATCTCATCTGGACGGGCGTCTTCACGACCCTCTGCTCCATATGCCAGTCGGGCACACTCTGGCAGCTCCGCCTCAGACAGGAAGCGGGTTTCGGTGCCTGTAGTGCCTATTAGAAGCAGGCTCTTCTTCAGGTCGATCGAACACTGCAAAGAAAAACAGGACAAGTAATGCTCCCAGATATTCTTCAACTTTCCTGTGCATTCAGCATACAGGAAGCAAGAAATGGAAACCCCTTTATTATCTGATTCCAATCCAATCCTGTACTGCACCCTGTGGTAAAAGGGGCTCACACCTGGTGTCTCTTCAGCATATCCAGGCCAAGTAGCATGTCCATTGGCTGGTCCTCCAAGATGGAGAAAGAACAAGGAAGGAAGTCCCCCTCTATCTGGACCTGAGCTACATGAGTGCAACAAGACAACACAATTTCAACTACACCGAAATGTCATGCAGAGACGCAAAATATGGATGCAGTTAAAAGAATACATCAAGTTTGGGAAAATGATTCTACCTACCCAGAGTCAGACAATCTCTGACACCATATCTCCCTGTGTGCACTTTTAAAAAAAGGTATGCTGGATGGCGAACTTAGTTTAGCTAGTTTGTGGCTATCTGCAGTATGTTAAACTAGCACTGACAGTGTTTCTTACAAAAAGCAACACACTGTACAACACCCTAACAGTTTAATGATCATTTGGAAGTACGTGCTTCAAACCGAAACTATTGATGAGAGTAAATATGAAGTGACCAATGACATCCAGCAATTGTGCTAAGCTTGGCTAGCTCACTATTTAGCACATTTTTAAACTGCGTGCAGAGTTTGTCTGACTGTCGGTAAGCAGGAAAACAAGCTAATGCCTAAATATCATACCTTAGTGGTTTTCTGGGAATTAGTCTTAAAATACAGTGTTAATCAAAAATCCAAAGAAACCCACCCAAATGAACTCTGCCAATGATCTTCTGTGTGCCCACTCCCTTGGCGATGCCGGCCCAGCGACGGTCCACCAGTCGCATAATGTTGCAGCGCTCAGCACAAGCTTGGCTCATGATGGTCATCTGGGCTCCTGAAAATAAAGAACGGCAGAAAATGTTTAATCCTAACAACAAAAAACGGCCTGCGCAATAAAGACGGAAATATGCTGTGTAAATCCAAATGGTACAAAATGGTATCATATCGCTGTGCTCCAGGAAACGACTACCGTTCCAGGTCCTGGGTGAGTCATACTGATGTAACGATCACAACAAGAATCAGATCACACATTCAAGTCTTGGCTTCAGATATTCAGAAAGAGCTCAGATCAGAACCTCTGCTCTGTTAATGCTGAAAGGAGATACCTGAAGTGGGTCAAGCAGCTGATTTAAATGCCTACCTCGTACTGGCTTGTGTGCAGTTTTTTTTTTTTACTTCAACTTGTAACTGACTTAAAAAAGAAAGCAGCTTATAGGGAGGGGTAGTGAGAAAAATAAACGCTTGAGACATGCTCTTAAATAAGTCTGTGTGAACTCCAACAAGTAAAACCCCTTTTAAATGCAATTAGCGTAGGAAAATTATTAACTCATTAACTGCTACTGCTGCAGTTTTTACAAGTAATTGCACTGAGACATTTTAAAAAGGAAAAACATTTTACGGTGCAGAAGTGCAAGCAAAGCTCCCTGAGCAGACGGAAAACAGTGATTAATAATGGTGGTGGTCAAGGTATGACCACAAAACAAGGAAAAATAATCAAGACAGATAAGATAAGAAGATATTTTTTGCAATAAACATGTAATGATGATATAGAGTACTAACTAATGTGCAAATGATTCATGATAATGAGATGGGGAAAAGATACAGATATCATCTGATTATCTGCAAAACAGGCAGGAGGGTAACTGATACTGAAGACTACAGTGAGGGTTTAAATATCTGAACAAGCTCAGGATATGACCGTTACAAGTTAAAAACACTGTCTTTGAGTGAATTAGTCTATTATTTAAATACTGAATAGGCAGATAGTGATCTATCTGCAATTAATTAAGAACTAAATATAGGTAGCACACTTACATTTTAGTACCATTCCTGTTTATGACCACAAAATTATAACTACGACAAAAGGATCCAGATTCGATGCTCATTACCTGAGTCAACAAAAGCTTTCACAGGGTGCCCATTGACTTTGCAGTTAATGTAGAGCATAACCACCTGTCCAAAGCTTTCTGGGGCCTCCTCCATTGCAATTGTCATGTTTTCTTCCACATTGTGCTGCCTGGAATATGCACAAATTCAAGGGTAAGAGACATGAGCAAAAGAAGAAAACATGCTGCCTAATTCTGGCGAACAAGCTGCTTTTCCTTATGTTTGTTCTAAACAGTGAAAGCAAAACTCATTCAAATTACAAATATCATTAGATTACACCACAATATCTGATCAGGGAAGTAAAACTAAGGCTGTACCATGCTGAAGATGAGGGGTATTATGTGGTGTATTATGAATATTCACATGCGGTCAACAAAATCTATGGTCTTCACGCCATACCTGATGTCCTCCTCAATCTTTGCTTGAGCCTCCAAATCAAAAGGATCAGCAGTCAGAAGTCTGATTCTCTCTTGTTCTCTCTTAGCTCGATCCTGCTGTTGCTCCAGCAGCACTTTGGTGAAACGCTCTGAGGAAAAACAGACAATTACACTAAAGTGAAAGATTCCTCAGTAAAAAGGCCGTAAAACACAAATCGTGGCTCTTTTTTTTTTTTACCCAAGTCTCCGCTCAGCAGGGCCTCAGCAAGTGGCGGATTTCGCTCCTTGAGGAGAGAAAGCTCATGTGGATTGGATAATAGCATCTGCTGGAGTAAGGCAGGGTCATCCAGCCCCTGGGGAGAGGAGCCGCGAAAGGCCATCGGCGAAGAAGGTTGTGCGGCGCGCTGTTGCGGCTGCTGCTCTGGTGGCGGCGGCGGCTGCTGTGGCTGCTGCTGCGGCGGCGGTGGCGGCTGTGAAGCCTGCGGCTGCGGCCTTATGGCGCCACGATGACTGGTTGAAGAAGAGGTGCCGGGGACTGTGATGGAACGAAAGTCAATATGGGGCAGACCTAAGGAGCACAAAGGACAACGGGTGAGAGGTTACATAGCGTATTGCATGTACAAAATCTCTGCTCAAGATGACGCATTCATCTTTTATGTCTTTTCAATCTTGATGCCCTGTGTCCCTGGATGTGTCTGTACGTCTGCCTTTTAAAAACAACACTACTACTTTCACTTCTTGTAAAACTGCGCTTACTTTCCTCATATGTTCAATGACTTATCTTGGTTTCCTCGCAGCCACGCAGCCAAAAAACTCTAAGCTGCTGGTCTACCTCTCTAACTATAACTAGCACTAGTAGGACAGGTTGAATGGAATGTATTTGTGTGTGAAACAGCGTTGTGACTATCAGTAGCAGCTCCCTCTCAAACTGTCGAGTGATCAAAGAGGCAGTAACTGTTCCTTATCGGCGTGCTTTACGTTTTTGCCCTGCGTGTTTTTGAATTCTCAAAGTCAAGTCCCAGCCCATCTATCTAGGTGCCCTTTAAGTTGTATGATCGTCTGTGTTAGCTTGCAGTTAAGTGTATGTCTTTGTGTCTTTCGTGTTCTACGAGGGGTGAGTAGGTGTAACTGTACAGAGAGTGTAGTGGTGGTTTTAAAAAATGTAACGCCGTTTGCCTCTATTATGTATATTTGTTTTTTAAACTTTTGCCGCCAAGTCTTTGGCCAGGACTCCCTGGGAGAGGAGTTCACTGTAACTCACATGACTTTTCCTGTTAAATAAAGGTTAAATAATAATTTAAAAAAAAATAATCATCCTTCTTCTTGTGGAAACGCATCAAACCACACAAGAATATTACACCCTCAGAGTAATTACATGGGACTTTAATGTACAATATCTGGCATCTTAACTGGAACTTGTCAGCAGACGTAAATCAATAGCTTTCATATATGTTTTCACCAAACGTGTGTGTTACCTGGGAAGGCTGGCTGAGTTGGTGGTGGCCTTCTGTCAGCTTGCCTGAGAACCACCACATCTCCATCCTTAACACCGTAGGTCCCCAAGGCACGAGTGGGGTCTTTTAGGGGCTGTTCTACATATGTGATCTGTTTACGGAAAAAAACACAGAAATACATTTTATATCATCATACATACGATGTACAGATTCTTTCTTCCTTTGTAACTGATGTGATTAGTTATTAGTATAGACTCCACGGGACTGGATAAACACAGATATTTCATTAGATCACAAAATGCAGCAAACTCTACATTAAATAAACCGGACTGCAAATGTAGGGAATCGAGACATGTTCCAAATTGTCTGATCTGTCGTAATCGTTCGCCACCAACCTTATCAATTCCTTTTATCAATGCCAGCTTTTTTTCCCCCCAAACAATGACATCAAACTCATGTGTCTACGCTGCTGGAAACAAAGAGGAGTCGTGGCAGAGGGGAAAAAACGGTCCAAAGCAAAGCCTCATTTTGCAAAGAAACTACTCCGTTAAGACTCTAAGATAATAAAACAGTTGCGTTGACTCTGAAAACCTGTGTAGGCCTACTTTTCTTCAACACACAGGAATCAATAAAGGAATCGACAAAGAACCTGACCAATAAGCAGAATAGATGCTGGCATTGTCAATAAAATCTTCCCAATTCCCAACCCAATGCAAATGTTATATAGTTTCACTAATTCAGTGGTCTGACTGCAACAACTATCTTCACACACAGATCTACAAGGTGAAATCACAGCCAACCACTTGAACTGGTGTCAGGTTCAATTTTTTAATCTTCACTTTCTGTTTTCAGCACTGTGTTCATTATGAAAGAGGGGGTGGGGGGTCGTTTTCCAAGATAGGAGTGATTGGTTGCACTGTACAGTCTCATAAGTAAGAAGGTGAAATAGAGAACTTCAGCATCATTTGCTTGAAAAGTGAATTACACAGTTAATTATATAGATTATAAAAACTGGTAACATGTCAGCTATTCACATGCTATTGTGCTCCTATAAAATACAAACCCTAAAAACTAAGAGAGTTGAATGTAAACCAGTCTGACAACTATAATTAGAGTATTAACTGCTTGGCCACACTGAATGTATAGTTAGTCATTTTATTGCTTAACGTTAACAATTAAAAACCCTAGTCACTCTTTAATATTAACAATGCTGCACACCCAATCAACAGTCACTGTGTAAACTCGCTGGGGTACATTAACAAGTTTTCGCTGACAAAGAAACAAAGAAAGAAACAACATGTAAGCTCAAACAACCGTCCTGGAGCTGGTAACTAGGCAGACAAACCGTTAGCTTCACTAGTTTGCCTTTCGGTTGCCTAGCGAGGCCGCCAACGGTTACAACCGGCTGTCTGTAGCCGTTATTAACCGCTGCAGACGGTAAACGGCCGTTGGTGAAGTTTCGCAACAGTCTGTCCATCAAAACAGCAAAAAGTCCGATTCATGCTAGCGAGGGAGCTAGCTGCTAGCCGTTAGCTGCGTTAGCTCGGCGGCTACAGCTACCTCGGGTCTCACCTCGATCTCTCCGGCTGGGATTCCTGATTCCAGTTCACAAAGTGCGACAAAGTCTCTCAGCTCCAGCTCCGGGGACACATCGAGGGCGAAGGTGGTTTCTGGGCGATCCCTCGGCGCGCAGAAAACGGTGACCAGCATCGCTTTTTGTATATATATTTTCTTTTTTTGGAGGGGGGGAGAGGAGAGGGAGGCAGGCTCACTGGACAAACCCGCTGCAACACACTGCGGTTAGTTCCTGCTCTCACCGGGGTAAACAAATACCCCAGTTATTCCTTGGCTTTCCCAGTTTAAAGACGTGTTTTAGTAGAAAAAGGCGTCAAAGTGGGGTAACTAATATTACACCGAAAGAGAGTGACTTGCTGTGCACTTACTGGGTAAATGCCTGATGTGACAGTTTCTCTTTCATCAACAACTACACACCATCAGGTATTGCTCAGTAGTGCCGCATTTCATTCAGATCGTTTTTCGACATGTCGCATTACGGACATTTCCGTCGTGAGTAGTTTCTTCTTCTAGTGGTAAAAACACTGCGAGCCCGTGTGCGACAGCGCCCCCTGCTGGAAGCTGCGGAATTACACACACATATACAATAAGGTCTTATTAAATTATAATAAAGACCACCGTTTATACTTGGTGTGGAAACGTTATTGCACTTTTTTAAATCGTATTTTATTTATTAATTAGTTCAGAATTATGACTGTTTTCATGCCAAAAAAATTAATTAGTTAATTTTAAAATAATAATAAATTCAGCTCTTTATTAACCAGATACCTCCAACACACTCTGTGTGATTTTTTTGTTTTGTTTTGAGTTGTTGTAGTGTAGGCTACATTACTCGTAAAGTTGTGTAGTTTGTTTTGGATATAAAGCAGCATTGTATACGTTTATTTTTATATATATTTATTTATATGTTTTACCTGAAGCTAAATGCTCTAAAAACAGTGG